ACATATAGTACATGCAGCCAATCAAAAGTTTTGAATATGGAGATACTTGTTAAAAAGACATATCACCAAAAGATTTTTTCCTCCAGTAAATAAATTAATATGAGGACACTAATGATAACAGGTGCTATTACTTACAACCTATTAATGGTCATGCGAAATAAATTACTTTATACTGTCCCAGCATATTAGGACAAATTATCAAGACAATATAGATTTTTTTTCATTTATTTTAAAGCTAGTCCACAATATAACATAGCATTTGAAGAGGGTTAGAAATCAGAATATTTTATTTTCTTCTAAAACATACAAATATAACCTTAAAAAGCAGTTAAAAACCTTGAAGCAAAAGTATCTAAAAAGCAATAAAATTAAATAAAATTAAAGTATCATCCACAGTTTACACGTAATCACTGAGATAACAGATGTTAATGTAAGTGTACTGACACAGGAATGCAAAGTAAATCAATTACCTTGTTAAAAAAAAAGTGCTTTTCATAAGTGAAAAAGGCTGTCACCAAGCAGAGGGATGTATGTTGTTTTCGTCGTTCCAGCGTACCTTTCATAATCGAATAACCTCACTTACACAAGGAATGTTTTTCTCTGAGTGGAACGATTGCAACAGGAAGAATTCACCAAAGAATCAACCTCCACTGGCCAGTGATTCATTGCAATTGACAGCCTGGTGGTTTGTCAAGGTGTAGTCTCTAGAGGGGAGGGAGGGAGTTTTATCAGTGTTTCAGTGTCTCTTCTTGTATCTTAGTGCTTCACCAGCCCGCATATACAGGTTCTGCGTCACAGGGCAGGCCATAGTATCGTCCTTGAGGTCGCTCTTTTCGTAACAGTGGAGCCCGGGCTACTGTCAGCTCTCCGTCAGTTTCTCTTCGTCGACGTAAAAGCATTAAAATGATAAAGAGTAAGGCCACTGGAATAAAAAAAAACACACAGACATATATGATAGAGACACGCACGTCATTACAGGCATACATAGAGTGCTTTAGCATGTGACCATGACTCCTAAATCAATTCATTATATCTTTATTTGAACCACCTGACAGGACTGCATTTAGCCATAAGAATTGAGCTTGAATTAACATGGCTCATTTACAGTTATTATATATCAATAAACAGGACTATAACTGAGTCAAGTTACTGAAAATGCAGTTTGTTTCATCACTTTTTCCTTTTTTCAATTCATTTGAATGTGAATTTTACAGAAAACAGGCAACTTTATGACCCATTACAATACCAGACACAAAAAATAAATAAATCGCTCGGATCAAACAATCGTTGTTAGTATTACTCACCCCCTCCTCCAATAACTAACAAAGCAATAGTGACAGGAGCCAGTTCACAAGTGTCCCCTGCTTTGCGGAAGAAAGTCTCCATGCAGTAGCCCGGAGCCAAGCTGCCCTCTGGACAAAAGGCATCACTCGGACACTGAATGGGGTTCACGTCGGGACTCTGAGAGAATAACATGCTCTGTCGCTAAATATCTTTTAAATGCACACGCATGTATTTCATCGGAGAGAGTGTGGCGCACTCACAGGGCAGTAGTGATTCTCTGGGCAGATATCACAGCTTTCCTGGCCCCAGTGGATCTGAAAATAACCACTGCTGCAGATTTGACACATATTCTGACGGGCGGCCTTGTACATACCTGTTCAAAAATCACACATCACTGGGATGGAAAGCAATTCTTATCTTTCTCTATTGCAAGCCACAGCAAACACTCACACAAATGACTAAGTGACAGCCCATTTAAGATACTCTAGTTTACCTGGCCGACATGGAGAACAGTCCTTAGCGGCAGTCTGCAGAGCTTCTGTTCCTCCAGGACACATCTGGCACTGAGTACAACCCGATGAGCTGTCAGAAAAAAAAAAAAAAAAAACATTTATAGCTGTAAAATACATGTGAACACTTTGGAGCAGGTCTACTGATCAAAGATCCTACTAATAATATGAATGGTTGTTGTCAATAGTTAACAGTTAGGTCAGTGGATAAAACAGTGACTACTGGAGAAATGTTTTGTAACTTGGTGGTGGCAGGAGGTAATTCATCAAACTAAAAAAATAAAGAAAGGCCAAGTCCCAAACACTATTTTTAGCATCTGTAAATAACATATGGAGTCGTGGCTGTGAGACATCACTTCCTATCATGGCAGAAGCCCAGGAACCTGCTGGCAGACGCTGGCAGTGAGGAGATAGGCTTTCAGGCTTGGCTGGCAAGTATGGACAGACTAAAAAGGAATATCGCTTTTATTAGTGCAGAAGCAAACTTGCAATCAGCCCTAGGAAGTGCTTTCAGCAGGCAAAGAGGTCACCAGACTCTCACAATGAAGCCTTGAAGCTCTGCCAATGGAGAAGTATGACTATGAGTGTTTAATGACTGTCAGTTTCTAAATGGTAAAAAATAAATCCACAGATCCAGAGAAGGAGCTAATATTGCTGCTCTTTTACACCCACAGTTTAGCTGTGATTAAGAATCTTGCAAGACGCCTCCCTGTGAAGGTTATTTGGGACACGTCATCTAGACCGCGTGAGCCTACATATCCTATCTAGTCTGGAAATTCTCAAAAATAACCTGGGAAAATCCAAAGGAGTATTAGCCCCCTGTAACCATATCTCAAACTGTAATGGAGTGATAATGCATGTCATGAATCAAAACTACATTCATTTCAATAAGGGTCATATAAACCACTTAAACAGGGCTGTGCATGCCATTCGTGACTTTGTGCCAGCTGCAGATTACTCAAAGCAGACACTGTGTAGCTAGTCCTGTGTGTGTCTGTGCGTGTGGGTGTGTTTGTGTGGCGTGTAACTGTGCAGGCAACTCAGAACCATGAGATGAAAGCATGTGATGCTCAGTTTGGTGGTTAGATAAGTTATTTTCCAAACACTGAGTTCTGCTCAGTTACAGGGCAACAACAACAA